AATGTTCCTATCGCTGCTTTCGGGCTTTCAGTGCGAGTCTTGTTATAGTGGTGTATTGTCTATTTATATGGTTTTTGTGCATCTAAGTATATTTTTGTATTTGTTGGTCGTCTTTTTTGTTCATCACCAACCTGATGCTCGGGTAAATATATTTGTCAACCTGAACTGATGTGACCTGTTGAGACGCCTGGACAAATCATTTTCCGTGATCTTGTCAACCATAACAGCGTTATGACCATCCGTACACCGATGCAACTTTTGTGAGAGATGTCATCAGTCAGATAAAATTTAACCCTCATTCTTTGGTCGAAACGTGGTGGAATCAAATTTAGGGTTGAAGCGCGAGTAAACCTGAAACATGCGATTTTTCGACCTGACTGAGATCTGTAACAAACAGATGCAAAACAATCTATCGTTTCCTCCCGAGTGGGGCAGACTTGCAACAACTTAGGCAGTGCAGTTTTCGTCAATCCACCATCGCTGCTGGTCACGTTATACTCAGCGCAGGGTAGTGTGACAAGTACAAAAATATACATCACAGATGTTTTTTTTCTAACTGCAGTCCTACTGCTTATATTCTGAAATGCAATATATTTGTGAATACAAAATTTACCTGACCCGCCAATATAGCCTTGGAAGGAATGTAAGGACCAGTCACGGGCTATTCAAAACGTGTGCTCCATCTTCGGTTGATCGACGACACCCGGTAGATGTGAGTTATAGAATAGCTCACTAAATCAAATATGATCAATGCAGGCGATAAATGAACGTGTGAACTACACATGGTGGCTTCAAGAATAAGAATGGGAGTAGTTTGGGTGCTTAGTTGTCGACTTGATGTCATGCTAAAAGCAGAAGTGGGCAAAATTAGCCCAGAAATCGTCTTTGGCTAAAGGTTATCAGTAAAGTAAATCTGTGAAACCACTGAAAAGTTAGCGGAAGACACATTTTCTTCGGCAGTCCGCTACATTATAAGGTCTACAGGATTGAAATCCCTTAAACCTGTTGAAAGGGCAGAAAAAGAGCTGGACAATGGGTATCCGGCGGCATTTGGTCGAACCGCGCCCGGTGGCACCGAATGGTCTGATGAGCTCTGATGATAAACGCGTGATGCGTCATCCTCATGATAATGTGATGTGTAGTAACTCTGGGACGTACCTGGCCATTCTCATCGCACATTACAGCACTTGCAGCTGCAGGAGAGATTGGCTGAATTTTGAAATTCACGCACATTTATAAACCAAAGCGCGCATATGTATCGCGACACGATGATTCGACGCCAGCGATATAACACACCTGGATCTCCGCCGCTTAGGGGCCGGTCTGTGGTGTAGGCGTGTCACGTACCAGCAAGTTTGCTTCTCGGTCCATATGGTTGCCATTCACCTAAACGTGGGTAAAACCAAGGTTTGATAATGAAGGCAAAGCAAGTCGATCTGCAAACCCGCAAAAAGAAGCTTTCTGATTGTGTGGTGGGAGTGCCGGGGAAGTTGGGGTCTCTATTTATGGTATGCCGACTTCCGCAAATGACATCGACACATCAGATGTAGGATAGCATGTTGAAGGCGGTCGTGAAAATCAACTGTGTACATCCTTTAGTTAGCAATGCCTGATGCCGTTGGAAAGGTCGCAACGATGGGCACTCGGCTAACTGTAAAGTAAAAGGGTGATAAGTAAATTAGGATCAGATCTTACAGCACCGAAGCGGGGACAGTTTCAAATCTGGCGACGATTGCAGACATATCTCAGCTGCCTCGAATTTTTTCTGTAAAAGGGGGTCTGAATGACTAGCCGAGTTCTGAGAACAGGATGTGGCTTGCCTTAGCATTGTACTACCCGGGCTATTTCATCCCATGCAATAGAAGATCAAAAAATATTTTGAGTACGCATTGGTTTGCTACCGTCCGCACTCCATGGCTGGGAAACTGCCCCTGAGATGTATTGTAGCCACTCAGCAATGACTTGAATGAAACAAGACACACCCACAACAAACGGTGAGCTAACGCGCTTGTTTTTGTCGCGGAAGACTAGGAAGTAGTTGCACGATTTTAGCATCCTTAGCTGTTAAACGCACGCGGATACTGTCGTACTCAGAGTCATTGCCAATGACCTGTACAAGTGGCAGCATGACTGAATAGGTCCAGCCGAAAGCCCTCTAATAGGAATGAATGGGCATATGGCTGAGAAGTTCAGAATTGCGTGATATAAAGAACGACTGCTTTTGAACACTTCGCAGTGAACCACATGCCTCATGTTGTTCCAGATATCGCGATGACACGACGGCGCAACCGGGATTACCATAAACATTTACTGGGACGTTCATGCCTGATCAGACCAAACTCCAGTGAAAAATACGTGCCCGACCAGCCCTGGGAAGCAAAGTCATTGTTTACACCACACCCGAAAAAGTGACTGTGCCAAGTGCCCAGTGGGTACGGTTAGTGCGGCCAGTTACGTACCAGATACAAAGACGCAGCATGAGCATACAGCAATCACCAAACGCCTGGATATGCCGTCAAGAATCGATGCCAGTGATTCGATAATAAGATAGCAGATGCCGTAGAAAAAAGGACGGACTGAGAACATGGCTAAACCTGCAAAGTTCTGCGGTACAAAGAGGAATTACTGCGAACGACAAGTCGGAGGAAGCCGTAGATCTGAAGCTATCACAAGAACCTGATGACATGATAACGACGACCTACGTCACAAGTAGGCGGGTGTGCAAGGAACGTTTGCGGTCACTTAAAACTCGAGTGCATGATAGAAAAATAATACTAGAAAACTGGGGGGAAATGTGTGCGTTTAGTGCTGCGAGGTCAATACGCTGAAATGGTCCACGATGCTCTGACCATGCATCGATGCACTGGCCTGTACTAAAGATTTCGACGGCACATTCAACAGTAATAAGGAGAGAAATCAGATACGGTGAAAACATGCGGTGGTTAACACAGGGAACGTTGCTCTCATAACCTGTTTTGACCCTCCCCACGCCCACAAAAAGCAGTGGCAAGTGCTGGGAATGTGCGGTGAGAATGGTCAGCTACATCCCAGAGCAACTATACATCACATGATCATGATCATGACGCATGCCAAAAAGCGAGGCACGGATCGTGCGCTTGTCACTGACGCTCATCAGACCATTTGTTGTCGCCGGGCGCAGTTCAACTAAATGCCGACGGGTACCAAAGGTCCAGCTGTATTTTGGCCATTTCAAAAGGTTTAAGGGGATACCAATCATGCCGGTTTTAAAAAAGTAACGGATTAAAGAAAAAGCTTTACCGTTCATTAGGTTTGCAGCAGTTTCATATATCTGTTTCACAGAGAGCTTTTAGTGAAATTTAACTTTTTGCCTAACTTTGCCCACCTCCGCTGAACTAACGCACACCAGTCAAACATCTACCAGGTGTCGTCGAAGAACCGGGTACAGAACATTCGCTTTGAACACCCCGTGATTGGTCCTGAATGCCTCCGGAAGCTATATGGTGAACCTAGTAAAGGTGAAATTTAGGAAAATAATCGGGTTTCAGAACTCAAACTGTAGGAGTGTGGCTGTCAAAACCTCTGTGATATATGCGTCCATACCGGTCGAACTACCTTGCCCTGAGTATTGCGTGAACAGAAACCACGATGGATTGATGGAAACCGCGCTGCCCAGGTAGCTAATGCTGCTAGTCTGTCATACTCGGGAGGAGCCAACAGTGTGATTTTTCTGTCTTTTGTTCCAGGCTTCAGGCTCAAAAGTCATATATCTCACGTGTATTCACGCCTCAGTCTGGAATTAAATTTCACTGCGTTTCCAAGGAAGAATATTGGTAAAATAATATTTGACTGGGGAAACCGCCCCTGAACATTTCATCGCTGTCCGGACGATCATGGCACTGCCATGAACGACGACATTATGGAAAATGATTTGCCAAGATGTCTCAACAGTTCCCACATCAACCCTCAAAAGTATATTTACCTGAGCATCAAATTGGTGCAGTACAAAAACAGCGCTCAGTAGTAACAAAGTGGTACATGCATGCACAAAAACCATCTAAATTGTCATTGCGCCAATATCACATGACTTGCACTGAAAGCCCGCGCAGCAATAGCAACATTCGGTCGCATCAAATGTGCACACACGGACGAATATTTAGACGTCTTTGGTTCTCACTCGAGCAACTGTAGTTCCATTCCATCACTGACTAGAGCAGGGGATATTTGTGCGCCGGCAGCGGCACAAGCTTCCCGTCCACGTAGGGTTTACAGACAAGGCGTGCACAGCAGTCGGGAAACTCCTTCCTCCTGTCTCCCCGAGCCTCGCGGCAGAACAGATTGTCGGCCTTCAGCTTCTTGAAGTCCACCTGCTTTCTCACCGACGGACACCTGTAAAGTAAGTGCGTTGATTCCAGAACCCGAAGGACCAGGGCCATTAAGTACTCAGCAACACGCATGATTAGAAACGTCAACAAATGGAAGCATAAAACATACAGCTGGTTTCCATCACTGCTGTGGACTTCACCTAGTCTGAGTGGTGAAAATGACATAAACTTTGAAAGACATGCCCAGTGTGAGTAGCATGTTGAATAGCAGGTCCAGTGGGTTAATTTAGGCAACAATAATTGCACGGTGACGTCTGTCTGGGTCCCGACTTCCAGCTACTGATTGATGACTGAATTTCACGCTTACTGGAATCGGTCGATGTAAAGAACGCCGTTGTCCTTGATGCAGTGGCTCTGTTTACAGCCAGAGAATGGGGAGCTCCAGACGTCACCGATGTTGTACTTCTTGTCAACCTGGTTGGCATTTGGTGTCGTCGCCTGTAGAGAACAGAAATATGTCGAGAATTACCCCCAGGACCTCGCCGGCAAAACATAGGGTACACATAGTTAGCTTTGCAGATGCTTTGTCCATGAAAATCCACTCTGCTGCCATGCTTGTGAACTGACTGCGAGAACAGGCAAGTGGTATCAATTGGCTCGATAAAGTCATCTTGATATTATGTCAATAGGTCTTACCTCTCCCAACCGGGAAACGAAGGTATCTCGGGTACTGCGCACAGCACAGCTGCACACAAACAACAGCGATGACCAGCAGTTTCCCCATATTGCTGACTGAAAGTCTTGCCCTGCAGCTGACCAGAGTCCACTCTCGTGTGTTATCTGATCTGGTCGCCAAACGCTTCTGTATGCAGTCCCCACCGGCCGGCTCGTTATATATACGGAACCGGACCGTGACGTCACGGTGCACAGGGCTGGTCGGGATCAGCGCAGTTTTCCGGGAGGACACTCTCTCGAGACGCGCTGTTCTAGCACGTGCATGACGCCCGGCGTTTGGGGGCCTTCACCGTGACGCACGTATTTGAGGTCGGACCGGGATGGGATCCGGTGTAAAGACCACCGCCCCGCAATGCTGGAAACGGCCAAGAAAGGCCTTGGATCGGCCAGCAAAAACAAGCGTAGGTGGGACGTAGAAATACTTTTCCAACCGCTTCTCGGATCTAGAAGGCTGGGAAGTTGGTGGTCCGTGCATGCATGCCTAATGCCGCCGAGACTTGCCTCCGCTCATGGCCCGCCGCGGTAAGGCCCCGCGATAGTACAGTGCCCTGAAACTGCTTTCCACTTGGGTGGAGGGGATGTCACTATTCACAAAGAGATGGAAACATTACCCCATTTTCATCATGTTTAACAGAACAAAATTGGGTTTAAGTCACAACATTTGATTGCTCACTAATTACACTTCATGCTTTTTTCTTTTTCAGGTCCCGATCATTGTCGTGCTGGTCTGGTATCCTGCCCATGTACCATTTCGTATTCCAGTCTTCCTCACCATCCACCGTCCACTGAAGCCCATATGTTGATGGTGTGATAGTTACTCGTGATAGTTAGCAATGATGGTCGTATTTGAATCGGTAGAAAATAAACATCAGGTGCCAAGTAACCGTTACGAGCTTTTCTCAGCCTAGTTGCAAAGAGTACAATACACGCCGACGAAAGCGCATTGCCACGATCTCTACTCAACAGACGCTGAAGGCGGTAATTCCTCACATCGTGGTATGGAATGCAAGGGATCTGAGCCTGCCAACTATCAAGATACGTAGAACAAGCAAGATGCATTTAACTTGCGTTCCCTCCTCCTAACAAGTTTTAAACTCATGACATGTGTCGATTTTTACGCATCACCTTTGCCAAAGCATTTCTACAACGGATGTACCTCAAAACGGCGCTCATGCCCCAACGGGCCTGTGTTGAGACAAAACCTTACAGCTTACAGCTAAGCTTAAGCTGTCAGGTTACTGCTTCTCAGAAAATCCCGCCAAAAAAGGGATACCAAATGAATTGGAAACATGCGACAAGCTCCCGTATAATTATGCCGTTAATTATTTTTGAGAAGTCCATCCCTATTAGCGATTAAGCAGCGGTGTAGAAGCACTACGCGAGACATCAGTGTCAGCCGGTGTGAATCCAGAAGGCGAGGGGGGCATGGGGCCACGGCCCCTTGGGCCCCCAAGGGGCGCATAGGCTACGAAGAAGCTCAAAGCCGGCCGAACAGACACAGCTTTGTGCACAAAACGCGACAAAAGAACAGTCGCAAGTGAAAACGAAGGGCTTAAGAGCAGATGAAAATAATTTCTCGCTGGTTGAGAAGGAAGGGATTGGAGGATTTAATGCATATTGCGCTGCAACTTGTAACTTTGACCTAAGTGAGACCACGTACAGGTCAATGCACTCTGAAAATGTGGCGTCTCTAGCTTTCTTAGTCCCGGAAATCTCAGGGGGGGGGGGCAACTTGAGCCCCCCCCCCGCCCCCCCCCCCCCACCCGAGCGAATGGTATATAACCGGCCACCCGGGCGCGTGTTTAGAGAGCCACAGGCTCCGAAGGGACCCATTAACGGCCGAACAGGTGCTGTTTTCCAACATAAAGCACAAGATTTAACGTCTTTGGGCGTCCAAGCGACCAAGAACAGTCACCAGCGAAAGTGGCGAGCCCGTGAACAGCCAGCATTAATTCTTCGCTGATTGAGAGGGCGGTGATTGGACAATATTTTAATGCTCATTGCATTGCCTTAAGGTCAAAATTACGCTGCTGTCAGGGACCTTTATATTTACTTCCCGGGTATATCCTATCGCTAAGGAACCTTCCACGTTGTCCTTGATCTCTTTGCATTTTCTGGCAGGGCCCCACGCTGCTGTTGGGGCACTATCCGCTAACATGCTTGGGCACTCTTAATCAATCAGCGGTCCTCCACGGATACTTCTCATTTGCCCAAAGGCTCTATACGCTTTTTCCGGGCCCCATATACCGGGTCACTCTCAGATGCTCATAGCCCCTTCATATAAGTCTCGGGCTCTTTCCACTTGCTCGAAGGGCCTTGTGTTGCTACTGGGGCCCATATAGGGTAAAGCACCGAGCCACTCGATGCTCAGGAGCCGTCTACATTGATGTTTTCATTGATCTCATTTGCGGAGGATCCTTCACCTTCCATCGAGGCACTTTCTGTTAACCTACCCAGGCATTGTTGATATCACATGGGCATAAGTTCACGCACACTGATCTTGTGTAATTCCCCTTTGCTCAGAGGACTATGTGCTCAGCCAGGGGCCCCATATGTCGGCATGCCGGGGCACTCCTGATCGTTTCGGGGTCTACCACGTTAGTTTGGGGTTCTTCCCGCTTGCGCTGAGGACCTTTCACTTCCTGACGGAAGCTTCTCTGTTGGCCTGTCGCAGCACCTACCATCGCACAGGCTTCGTCCCCGTGGCTCTTGGTACCTTAGCCTTACAGCACCAGTGGGATATGCAACAATGAATTTTTAAGCGCAGTTGTCAAACATAATTTTGCATGCCGCCTTCGTTGTGTGTGTCGCTTATGTTGGTTGTTGAATTTGTGGTACCTTTTATAGTTGTGCATCATGTTCTTAACACATTTAGATACTAAGACATTTTGTAACCCATGATACACAAAGCGAAATCTCTGCGCTAGTCATCAGCTGTCAGCTTATCACGTTGACCAGGATGCTTCCTGTAGATAAGCTAGGAGTGAGGTTCGTGCTTGATCTAATATCATTTAGCAGCCAATTCTAGTTAATTTTTCCATGTTTTTTTGACAAACTGGGCCTCAAAATGAAGGATTAAGCAGGCTGGAGAAAATGAATAATCCCCATGTGCGTGTGCTCACGCCAATATTTCTAGGTCTGTGCACATTAAGATGAATTCCCGTATAATCAAAATCCCGCATCCGCCCCTGGTGTCAGCAAGTTTTTCTCGGCAGCCAAAGCTCTATATAAATGTTTGGTCTGGTTCAGCGCGATGGTGGGAGAGCGTTGCCGTCTTCAGGTCATTGCTAAGCGGACGGCGATACACTTTGGGCACAACTGAAATACTGGTATTGGTGCTACACTATATGGGGGTGCGCACTATATGCCACGCACGCACGTGGCATGGTGGCATATAGTGCCGCACGTGCACGCAGGCCACGCACTGTACGCCATACTGATGCTATACAGAAGTGCTAATAATTGTCGCCCTGATTCGCCGTGTTTAATAACAGACTGATAGGGAAATAGGGTGATGTGATCCCAAGACATTCAAAGACAAAGCATGAGATTAGCAGTGTTATAGGGGATATCAGCCATGTCGGTCTTAAGAAAATAGCGGATAACCGGAAAGCCTTATCCTTTGTTCACTTTTAGCAGATTCACGGATTTACTTTACGGACAGACTTTAGCAAAACTTAACCTTTGGGCTAAATTTGCCTACCTCCGCCTTTAGCATCGCCCATATTCATAGGTAAGTACCCAGCCTTCCCAATTTTTATTCTTGGAGACACCCTGAGCGGTTCACACTTTCAAATATCACCTGCATGTTATCATGTCTGATGAAGTGAACCGTTTCAACAGGGCACTTCAGTCAAACATCGACCAGGTTCGTGGAAGAGTTGGAGACAGAACACTCGCTTTGAGTAGGCCGTGGTTGGTCTTGAAATTCACCCCAAAGCCATTTTGATGGGTCTGGTGCAAGTTATATGACGGAAAATCGTCCAGCTTTAGCCCGCAAGTTGTGGAGAACGGAGACCGCTGCCATCAGCCTCTATGATGCACGTTTTTGTATCGGTTAAACTATCTTGTGCTGAGTATAACGTGACCAGCAGTGATGATGGATGAATGAAAGCCGCGCTGCCCAAGTAGCTGCTGCTGTCAGTCTGTCACACAATGGAAGAAACAAATTTGCGATTTTTTTGTCTTCTTGTTGCAGATCTCAGATGCGTTCAAAAGTTGTAAATTACACGTTTATTTGCGCTTCCATCCGGCGACAGATATCGCTTCGCTTTGCATGAAGAATAATGGCTGAATGTATCTGACTGGTAATATCGCTCACAAACGTTTCATCGGTGTGCGAATAACCATAATATTGCCATGGACGACGACATTATGGAAAATGACTTGCCCAGATGTCTCAGCAGGTCCCATCAATTCAGATTCAACGTACATTTACCTGAGCATCAGATTGGTGCTGAGCAAAGCTTGCGACTAGTTGTATGCGCGAAATCCTATAACTGAAAGATCGCACCAATATCACAAGACTCCAGCTGAAAGCCCAAACGGCAATAGGCACATTCGGCAACACCAACTTCGCATACACGGATAAATATTCAAACATCTTGGTTCGCACTCCCGCAACTGCAGTTTCATCCCAGTCCTGACTAGAGCAGGGGATATTTGTGCGCCGGCAGCGGCACAAGCTTGCCGTCCACGTAGTGTTTACAGACAAGGCGGGCACAGCAGTCGGGAAACTCCTTCCTCCTGTCTCCCCGAGCCTCGCGGCAGAACAGATTGTTGGCCTTCAGCTTCTTGAAGTCCACCTGCTTTCTCACCGACGGACACCTGTAAAATAAGCACGTTAATCATAAAATCAGACAGGTCAGGATCATCAAGAAACTTTCAGCGCGTTAATGATTTGAAACGTCAGTGAAAATAGACGTATGTCATACGAATCCTGGTTTACATTTGCATGCTGTGGACTAGACCAACTTTCGGTGCTGGAAATTAAAGAGCTCTTCAAAGTGGGTTCACCTGGGTGGCAAGAATTGTAGGGTGCCGGATGTCCAGGTTCCGACCTCCAACTGCTAATTGGTGGCTGCATTTCACACTCACTGGAATCTGTCGATGT